TTGTTCCTAGCACCCATGTCAGGTGGCCCAAAACCCCCTGTAATTCCAGTGGCACATACTTGTAATCCCAGTGCTGGGGAGGTAGCAACAGGGAGATCATGGGACTCACAGGCCAGCCAGCCTAGCCAAACTGGTGAGTTCCAGGTCAATGTGGTGATAGCCTGTCCTACAAAATACAAACTGAATGACAGACACCCGGCCTTTCCACCCAGACATGTGTGCACTCAGACCTGCAAATGCCCTGTATGCCTTCTCATGTACACCGACATGTACATACATACATGCATACAACCAAAACAAAGAAAGTTTGAGGGCGAATGTCTGACCCCTCATGAACAGCCTGTTAACTTCTTCAGCTTGCTGCTTGCACCTTAACTCATCATTGTGCAGATTCCCAAGAGGAGGAAGCCAGCACTTGGCCTGTCTAGTTCAGCTTAGTAAGCAGAGTGGTGAGCCCCCCACATCCTACACACGCAGCTCACCTGCCCCCCTCTCAGAAATGCTTAGTGCTCCCTGTCTCCCGCTAACAGCTCTCTACAGATCCAATTCATGGTTCGTCACTAAGGGTCTTGCCCCTAGTTGCCTTAATTACAGTGACCATTCTTCATTTCTTTTCACTCCTGCTTTTAAAGTCCCCTCCACTATCCCTCCCTCTCCTGCTTTCTGAGGCAGAGTCTCACTGTGTAGTCCAGTCTGGCGGTGATACTCATCTGGCTTTGGCTTCCTAGGACTGGGATTATAAACACACATCTCTGCGCCTGCCCTAGCTTCAGCATATTTCTTGAATGCTTGTCCTTGCCTCACGGTCTGATGAGGGCCCTGTCATCTTTCACCACAGTCATTTCACACTATCTGTGGCACAGACTCCAGAACAGTGGTTCTCCAACCTATGTGTCATGACCCCTCTGGGGGTCGCATATCAGATTATGATTCATAATAGCAGCAAAATGACAGTTATGAAGCAGCAACAAAAATAATTTTATGGTTGGGGGTCACTACAACATGGGAACTGTATTAAAGGGTCACACATTAGGAAGGGTGAGAACCTCTGGCCTAGATCTTTTCCATAACATTAAGGAGTGTGCGACCCTAATGTGTGGATTTCTTGTGTGTGTGTGTCATGTGTTCATTCCTGTGTATGAATGTACACTTGCCAAGGCTCACATGGACTTTAAAGGACAGCCTTAGACCTCGGGCCTCACTCTCCTTGTTTGGAGGTAGTCTCTCTCTCTCTCTCTCTCTCTCTCTCTCTCTCTCTCTCTCTCTCTCTCTCTCTCTCTCTCTCTCTCTCTGGCCTCTTATGCTAGTCTAGTTGACCCCTGAGCTTTAAGCAATTCTTCTGTCTCCACCTCCCACCTCCCTTTAGGGGTGCTGGGATTAGAGGCTTGAGCACTGCTGCATCTGGCTTTCACATGGGTTCTGGGGGATTTGAGCTCAAGTCTTCATGCTTGCCTGGCAATCATTTCTACCCACCGAGCCACTTCAACACCATTCAACAGTGGTCCTACCGCCTCCTTCACTGACTATGGACTGGGAGGTACCAGCCTAGTGAAAACTGCCCTAACATTCACTAAATTATGAGTTTCTGTGTTTAGCATGGGCCATCAATATTTTGAGTAGCACATCTCAGGGCCTCTGCAGAGTCATGAGGTGAGAGGTGAGCTCATCCCCTGCTCCATTTGAATCTGATGAGATTCCTCTTGCTTTCATCACCATCAGAGACTGTGGCTTTGTGGGGAGGACAGGATAGACAGCAGCTCCTAGTGAAGAATGTGTGGAAGTGACAGGAAGGGAACATCATGATTAAGGAAAGTAATTCCTGACAACATCATATTTAGAAAGAAATCAGTTGATGCGTGCTCATGGCTTGAATAATTCAGAATGCTGAAATCCATGGAATTACAACCAAGTTGTCCTCCCATTTCTCATATAAGCTTTACCTCTAAGACTCACACCTTCCTGTAAGAACTTTAAAAATGTGCATCACTGCTTTATCAGATACCTCTCAGGCGTTGGACAGTCCCTGTCCTCTTAGCGGCAACACTGCCGTGGGGCAGCAGGAACGGACCCCACTGGGAGATGGGGTGACAACAAGGAGCCCTGAGATTGTAGGAGGAAAGTTGGGCAGAAGTTGGAGAATGACATGCCTTCTCTTGCGTTGGAGTGACTAGCATATGTAAAACAAGTGAGTCACACATTCAAAGGTCATCTTCACCCTGACTGGGCACAGAGTGAGGCAGGGACATTGAGGCTTGGCCCGTCAGCAGGAGTCAGGATCAAGGATACAGTCTCGGGATCCTGAAATGAAATTGAGAGTTCCTGACCAGGAGAGAGATGGGATCATATTGTGTTTGGGGAGAATTCTGTTTCAGAATGTGCTGGAGGTCAGATCAGGCTCAGTGGGACTAGTTAGAGGCGTGTTGCCCTGGTCCAGGCCGGAGATGATGCAGGCCTGGATTAGGCTATGGAATCTCCAACTGCTTGCATGTTTGGGGGACCTGCCAATGACCTCACTAATTAAACCCCTAGGGGGATGAATGGGCAGCTTTCCCACTTATTCAGATGGGGAGATGACAGAAGCGGCCAGAATCAAGGTATTTGTGCCCCACAAGAGGGATGGGAGAAGCAGAGACCATGGGTGAGTGTGGCTGCTGAAGCCAGAAGACTGAAGACTCCCCAAAGCCATTGATTTACGCCTTCTGCACTCGCTCCTTGTCATTTTCACTCAACAGATCGTGAGAGCAACAGGTCTGTCGTAGGAAACTAAAACTGAGTCTGGGCTGAACATTTGGCTGGGATGAGCCAGCCCCCAGTCCAACTAATCTTACAAGCGGGGGCCAAAGGAAGTCAGTGAATGAATGTGATGACTTGCAAGGGTGGAGATGACGCATCAGAAGTCACGTACACAGTCATGTACAAGAGGCTTTCCTTTCTGTGACAGACCCACACATAGTCACAGTGCTGACACACACTGGCGCGCTCCTTTCAGTTCTCCTAGTACAACTCATGTCAGCTGTTGATATGGCCAGAGCTGTCTGAGGGGGTCTAAATTGAGGGATTGGTAAGACTGGCCTCCAGGCATGTTGGTAGGGAATTTTCTTAATTGATAATTGATGCAGGAGGGCCAAGCCCATTGTGGGTGGTGTCATCCCCAGGCAAATAGTTTTGGGCTATATAAGAGAGCCAGAAGCAAGTTAGTAAGCAGCCTTTCTCCACGGATTGTGCTCAAGTTCCTACCTCCAGGTTCCCACCTTCGGCTCCTAACCTAGCTTCCCCGGATAACAGACTGTACTGTGTGCAGAAATCAACCCTTTCCTTCCCAAACTTCTTTTAGTCAGAACAGCTTATCACAGCAACAGGAAATAAAACTAGAACTGAGATATTCTGCTAATAATATGAATTAAAAGATACTAATAAGATAGAAGACAGGCATTGCTGCTCACACCTTTACCCAGCAGTTAGGAGGCTGGGACAGGAGGATTGCTGTGAGCTCCAGACCAACATCACTACAGAGTGACATGCTTCCTCATCAAACTAAATAATAGCAACAATAATAAGGATAACAATGTAATGATGTTTCTTGATCATATTACCAAGCAGGAGGCATGCTACCAAGCATTTAACTTGTGTAACTGTATCTCACGCTAAAAATGGGCCCTTCATGGTAGGCTTCTGTTATCATATTTATGAAGAACATGAGATAGCTAATACGTAAAGGGATTAAGTGACTTGCCCAAGGCTACAACTCTTATGCTCAAGGGTGTTGCCTCAGTACTGTGAAACTGATTACCCATCCTACTGTCGCTTTCAACAATGGAGGCATGATTGGGCTTCATGTGAGTTACTCTATTCATGGTTCCGTCTCTACAAATGGCACTCAGGGGCAGGAACTGATGGCCTGTGAGATGTGAGAAAATGATCTGCCGGTAAGGCCATCAGTTTGGAGACTCAGTAGTCTTGTGAGCAGGATGCCCCTGGGAAATGGTGCTGAGTCAGTCCCATCTTGGCAAACCCACACTGGGCTTTTAGCTTCTTTTCTCTTCCACTCCAAATCTAGAGAGTCTTTTTCGAGAGGCTGGCCTGGTAACCCCAGGATCATCTGCAACTGCTTTACTCTGGGATGCCCTGGGTGGGTGATGTGAATCCTATGGACATCCTCCCACTGTGGGGTCAAGGCTGTTGCTAAGCAGAAACTTCATGATAGACCGTGGGCCAGGGCTGCAGCTCAGTTGGTAGAGTATGCGCCTAGCATTCCCAAAGACCTGGATCCTATCTATCCCCAGCACCACATAAACTGGGTATGGCAGTGCTAACCTGTAATTCCAGCACTTAGAGGGTGGAGACAGAAGAGTCAGGAGTTCAGGGCCAACCTAGGACACTTAAGAAATGGTCTCAAGGGTGAGAAAATAGACCATTGTACAACCGCAGAACTGAAGTCATAGGAATCAAAACTTCCTTTGATAATGCCCCAAAGCCATGACTCACACTTCTTCCCCATCACTGGTATTGCTTCCACTCAGTAAATCTTGAAGAGGACAGGTCTGTTACAGAAAATTACAACTGAGGTTTAACTGGGATACAGGGCCCAGTGAGACTAGCCAGAGGGTTATTGGTTGGGTCTAGGCTGGAGGTGCCACTGGCCTAGGTTAGGCTATGGGATCCCTTGCTTCACACTGACTGTGTGGTCCTTGAATACACACGCAGCCTTGAGCTTGGACCCTTAGATCTGATCTCCCTTAGGAACCCAGTGGGGACTTCTGTAGGGCAGGTGGGCACTGCCATTCAGCTGAGGATTCCACCATCACCCACCTTATCCTTGGAAAGTCCTTCAGTTCCTTCTGGATCTGCCCGCCTTCCCCTGCTCCTCACTGCTTCTAGGGATTAAACACAGGCCATTAGGCTTGGAAGCAAGTGGTCTTTCTCTGCTGACCACTGGCCCTGTGGTCACTTCTAATCAAACTATTAATTGACATTAAGTAAAGAGCTATTGGCACACAGTATGTTGGAAAGCTTTAGCTAAATTTAATGATGTAGTTATTGGGAAACACATTAGAGAATCAATCGTGTGTGCCTGTGTCCGTGTGTCTGTTCTTCTGGCCTCCCTGTCTTTTCTCAGTGAACCCCAGGTGGAGGAACATGAGGAGGATTTTGTTCCACATGCTGTAGACCCCTGAACACACAGAGTTAAACTTTTCTTTTATATCAGTACTTAAATAATGGTTGTGAGGTTTCTTCTTTTTCCAGTTCATTTTGTGTTTGGAAAATAACTGTAAACACTCATCAGGGCTTTTTCACAAATGTGTCGCTTGAGTGTTTTGAATGCCATACTTTCTCATTCAAGAATTAAATTGCTGCTTAAAGCCATCTATCACTTTCTTACAAAGTCTGATGGTGCCTTTCAGGGAAGCTCTGCTTCAGGCTAGCCCAGGGACCTCTTCTTCAGGCTAGCCCAGGGGGCTGTCAGGAAGGCTTTGGGAGCCACTGGGGCTGGAGCTGTGTCCCATACAGTGTGTGAGGGCCTCGAAGTGTTCAGGCCTGCAGCTAGCTGGCTGCTGGAGTCGATGCTGACATCGAGTATGCACAGAGGGACAACTCTGCATCCTCAGGTAACAGCTCTCTCTGTCCCATTCCAGACTCACGTGAGCAAGCAGGCGTCTTGCACTCCACCTCCCTGAGGTAAAAAGAGAGGGAAAAGAAAACGAGCATGGATGGGGAGGCTTGCCTGGTTTCCATCAAGACCCAGAGTGGGGCCCTCGGCGTGCGAGCGCCCTGGCACTGAGCTGAGCCAGGCACTGTGAAACACCCTTGAGTCATCATGGAAGGCCCTGGGTGGTGGCTGCCGACAAGTTAAGGACAGTACAAGCCTTGTTATTTAACTTCTGTCAGGCCCAATCCAGTGGGGGTGGAGGCCTGGGGAAGCCCTTTCACCAGGCCATGGGATCCACTCCAGGGATCACGATGGATGGATGGATGGATGGATGGATGGATGGATGGATGGATGGATGGATGGCCAGGAGTGTGTGGCGTATTCATAGACCAGCGTGTGCTCCCAGAAATTCTAATGGTAGAGGAGCCAGGTACAAAAGGTTGGAGGGTAAAAATTGCAGTACAGAATCATTTGGAGCTGCTCCCTGGCAGTTCCCTTCAGTCCCAACTGTTGTCACCAGGTGCCATGAGGAACATGGGTTCCTTCAGGGTAGGGATTAACTTTCATGCATTTAAAAGGTCTGTTTACAGGGCACACAGTAGGAGTTCAGTTAGTGGGCACTGAGCAGAATGACTGGAAGCGTCATTCTGAGTTCTAGTAGCTTCGCTCTGATTATTAAAGACGGGGGAAGGGGCAAGGTGCTTTTATTTTAAGTCATCACAGATGAGTCAGTCCATTCACACATGGCCCACAGAACTGCCCAGCAGTTCCAAGACACGCAAAGTCATAGTAGGTTCATTAGAGCCATGATGGACAGTACAGAATGAATCTTGCCCAGCTTACATATTCAAGTGCTGGCCTATCACACCATCTGGGTCCACGTGCTAGCTCTAGGTGGAGTTGGTTCAGGCAGAAGGTCATGATGCTAAGAAGGACACTGTGTGACTTCTTAGCTCATGAAAACAAATTGCACCTTGAGACCTTGAGGAAATACCCAAAGTGTGTTGAGTCTCCAGACAAGCTCACCCAGGATACAGGACAGCCTAGAGCTATAGCATTTGTTCCTTCATCCATTCATTCACTCATTCTGGGTATCAGAACTAGCACCTCACATATCCTACACAAGTGCTCTATCTCTGAACCTGCTATGTAACTCAGGGCAAGCCAAATTAATTTCCCGAAATCTTAAAAGAGAGGGTGGGAGGGCTAGAGAGATGGCTCAGCAGTTAAGAACACTTGCTGCTTTTTCCCGGGTTTAATTCCCAGCACCCACATGGTAGCTCACAACTATCTGTAACTCCAGTTCCAGGGTAGCCAGCACCCTCATGCAGGCAAAACACCAAAGTACAGAGAGAGAGAGAGAGAGAGAGAGAGAGAGAGAGAGAGAGAGAGAGAGAGAGAGAGAGAGAGAGAGAGAACATATCTGTCATTCCAGCACTCTGGAGACTCAACCAGGAGGGTTTTGAATTCAAGGCCAGCTTGAGCTGCATAGCAAGTTCAAACTACATGATAAGATCCTGTCTCAAAACAGAGATGCCTGGGCAGACATCTCAGTCTGTAAAGTCTTTGCCAAGCAAGCAAGAGGACCTGAGTTGAATCCATGTAAAAAGCTGTGCATGGTGGTATGCACTTGTAATCCTTTTGCTGGGGAATAGAGACAAGAGGACCACCCCCAGATCACCCTGGCAGCCTGCCTTTGCCTAACCAGAGAGTACCAGGCCAAAAAATCATAAATCTAGGTAGACAGTTCTGGAGAAAAGACACCCAAAGATCTTTGGTCATGGTGCTTCCATGCATACCTTCCCACACAGGAGCATCCACATGAAACCACACACATAAAAATAACCATATATACAGCGATCAGAAACTTCCCAGTCAGTACACAGTAACTTGATTCCCTAAAGCCCTTAGATTCCCCAAAGCCGGAAGAGACGAGTGATTGCTCAGTTGATTGACAGCAGCTGTGGGCTTATCGCCAGTCGTTAAAACTCTTCATGTCTGGAGTGAGCTTGCTGCCTGCTCAGACAGACGTGAGCTCTCCAGCTATGCTTCCAATGAACAGGAACCAGTTCCACTAAAATCAGAAGAGTATTGCCAGGTGAGCCTGCACATGTCTGTAACCTCAGCACTGGGTAGATAGAGGCAGCAGGATCAAGACTCAGGGTTGAGCTGGTTACACAATGAGTTGAGTTTAATTTGTTCTATATGATACCCTGTCCAAAAGACAGAAAGAGGCGGAGTGAAGGAAGGGGGGCATTTCCTAGAAGCATCACAGCTATCTAGTGTCTCCTTATCACCTCCCTGACCACAAAGGAAAGGATAAACCGGTGGCTTGGAACCCAGCCTGGGAAGCACAGGACTCAAGAACACACTTTGAAACCTAATTGGAACTCAAGGTTGAGCAGTGAGTTCACTCACTTTAGCAGGCACTTGGTAAGGAATGCTGTCTTGGTTACAGTTCCTATTACTGTGATAAATACTGACTAACAGCAACTTGGGGAGGAAAGGGTCATTTCATCACACTCTTCCACACCACAGTCCATCAGCAAAGGAAGTCAGGACCGGAGCTCCAGGCAGGAGCCATGGAAGATGCTGCTTACTGACTTTCTTCTCATGGCTAGCTCAGCCTACTTTCTTACACAACTCAGGACCACCTGCCCCGGGGTGGCATCCCCCATACCCATAGGCTGGTCCCTCCCCCATCAAACATTAACCAAGAAAAAAGACCCACAGACTTGTTCACAGGCACTCTGGTAGGAGGTATTTTTCTCAATTAAAGTATCTCTTCCCAGATAACTCTAGGTTGGGTCAAATTGACAAAAACAAACACAACAAAACACACACACACACACACACACACACACACACACACACACACAAACCCAACCAGAATACATAAAAATTACATTGTCTTTGGCTATATACTTAAAGAGAGTATGCTTTGCAAGAAATAAAGAACCAGCCACAAAAATATATTTTTAAAAAATCTCAACCACAACCGCAACATGAAATTGGAGGTCCTCTGGAAGATGCGAGAACAAAAGTGAGCATAAAAACTGGCCTCAGCAGGGCATCAGCACACACCTGTAATTCCAGTACTCAGGAGGTAGAGGCAGGTGGATTTCTATGGGTTCAAGGTCATTCTGGGCTAGTAAGTACCAGGCCAGCTAGGGCTACATAGTAAGATCCTGTGGGGGGGGGGGCTTACCAGCGTCTAGTCATGATTCCTTTTGTGGATCCAGAGGCTTATGAGGTCGGCCCCACCTCATTTCAGGACAGGAGCCATCAACATGCCTTAGTCACAGTGATTGGCTCAGATGGAGGAAGTTAGAATAAGCCAAGTGAAACTCAAAGCTTGTGTTTGGAAATGTGGGACCAAGACATTGAGTGAGGAATGAAGTTGCTACAGCCATTTTTTCTACTTGGAAGGCAGTCATCTTGGAAACGATTCACCAGTGAGACCTCGATGCTGAAAAAAATGTTAGGTAGTAGAGCGGGGGCCCTGATCACATTTAAACTCTGAAACAAACTGTAAAAGAAGACTTCCTTGACCTGGACTTTTGGATTAAATGACCTAATAAATTTGCTATCTGGGGGACCAGTTAAGAAAGAGAGTAACCAGCATATTTTGAAATACAGGAAATTAGTGAGAGTTTGTTTGCTGTTACTGTAACAGAATACACAAGGCTGTGTGCACTTAAAGAAAAAAGGAGGTTTATGTATGTCATGGGTTAGAGGACTGAAATCTGAGACAGCATGGCTTTGATTCTGGTGAAGGCCCCATTAGCTGCCCGTGGCTGATGACACTGCTGTGTGTGTGCATGTGAGCGGGGAGACCACATGGCAAGACAGGAAGCCAGAGAGTCGGGCTTTCTGTGCAACCACAGCTGTCCTAGTTTACTTTCTGTTGCTGTGATAAAACACTCTGACACAACTTAGACGAGGAAGGGATTCATTTGGTTACACTTCCAGGGCACAGTCCATCATTGAGGGAAGTCAGGGCAGAGACTCAAGCAGGAACTTGAAGCAGAAACCATGGCGGAATGCTGCTCTCTCAGGCTCCTGCTATGGAGTCCAGCGTCGCCTGCCTAGGGCTGCGCTGCCTACAGTGGGTTGTGACCATCTGCATAAATTAATAACCTAGACAGCCCCCGACAGACGTGCCACACAGGCCAAACTGATATATGCAATTCCTCAGTGGAGGCTTTCCCCTCAGATGACTCAAGGCTGTGCCAAGTTGACAGTTAAAGCTAATTAAGACAAGAGCCCTTTCATAATTAACACAGAGTCCAACTAGAGCTACCTTAACCCTGTTAAGGATGCTGTCCTCCACGACTTAATGACTTCCCATTATCCCCAACACCTGAAAGATGCTGTCTTAACATCACATACTGGTGACCAAGCTTCCGACATCAGAACCTTCAGTGGACACACATACGCCTTATTCAGTCCACAGCCCAATGGAGCCATCAAAGTGAGGGTGCCGGGATGACTCAGAGTGGGTAATCCCCAGGGCCATGTAGTTAACTATGGAGAGTGCAATTACCAGAACTTGGAACCTTGGAGGAGGGTCTCGTGGATTGGCGGTGCTGGACTTCAGGATGAAAGTGCTGAGCTTGCATTTGGGTTACTGAGAGCAAAGGGGTAGGTCCGAGTTGCTTGGTGTCCACACTGCGAAGGGGGTGGGCCAGGGACTCTTCTGATGTCCCCCAAGAGCCTGACTCAGAAGCCTGTGCAGCCAGTCCACTCCTCTTTCGGGGCCGGGGCTGGTGTGCTCCTATGGAATGTTGAGGCAACTGGAGATACTGAAGGGAGTCGGAAAGAGATGCCCATGGAACTGTGGGCTCTTGGTGGTGAAGAGATGCTGTGTACTGGAAAACAACATGAGGTCCTCCTAGATTTCATCTGGTGTCTCTTGGCCAAACCTCACAGGAGCCATAATTAAATATTTTTAAGATGTATTTCTGCACAGAACAGAAGGCAAGCGAGAGATGAGAGACAGAGGTAAGGCCAGTGGGGTGGGA